AAAAAAAAAAAAAAAAAAAAAGGAGGGGGGAATGGATGAAGATGGAAAGAGGAGATGTTCAAAGACTACACTCTGGGTACTCCAGTGTAGAGGCTGGGGAAATAGAGGGGAAGCCTCAAAGACTGAGAAGAAAAAGAGGTGAAAGGTAGGTAAAAAAAGTGTTTCAAGGAAGAGAGACTAATTAACTGTGCCAAATGCTAGACTGATCAACTACGTCAAATGCTACTGATAGGTGAAATAAGATGAGGACTAAAAATTTACCACTAATTTTAGAAACATATAAAGCCCTGGTGAACTTGGTAAGACCTTGATTCTTTTTTCTTTTCTTTTCTTTTTTCTTTTTTTCAGACAACACAAACACATTTATTTCAAATTTCTAGGAAATTTTGAAAAAATAGCAGATACCAATGCTTTATGCATGCTCAGGGCCAGCTTACATGAAATCTTAGCACAAATGTTCATTCGTGAAAAGAAACTGGCAAAATCCACTTCTTGCCATTCAACTTGTCAGATGGCAATTTTTATTTTTTTAATGATTTTTTTAAGTTTATTTATTTATTTTGAGAGAGAGAGAGCATGAGCAGGGCAGGGACAGAGAGAGAGGGAGAGAGAGAACCCCAAGCAGGCTCTGCACCAGCAAGGCAGAGCCTGACACAGGCCTCAAACCCACAAACCATGGCCTGAGCCGAAACGAAGAGTTGGATGTCTAACGAACTGAACCACCCAGGTGCCCCCATCAGTTGTAATTTTTAAGTATGACTGTCACATTGGGAAAATGAAATAAACACAGCAAAATAAACTATACAAAGGCAAAGTAGAATAACAAAAAATATTTTACTAAAACGTAAGATTTACAGAAGTTTCCAGATAAGCCATACAAAATGGTCACAAGCTTTTTCTTGAAGGAAGGATTCTACACTTGACAGCAAAATCAGTGTTATTAGTGAGAACTGTGATGTTTATTTAATGTCCCCATTTTGTTTCAAACCATCAAGTTTGTCCATCTACTTGGCTAGAGAGCATATTCTAAAGAACTGGTTAGCTGCTTTTAACCAATTCAAGTAGATCACCATAAAGGGGGGGAAAGGAGCCCATAAAATTGAAGTAAAACTACTTCTTCCCCTCAAAAAAAATAATGAAATAATAATAATAAAAACACCCACATCCCTGCAGCTAACCAAGACAACTACCTTCAGTCATAGTGCTTTATACTTAAACCACGACAGGGGAAATGAATAAAAGCAGAAAGGGGCCAATGCTATTGTTTCACAATAATTGAGATCATACTTCTAGCTTCTGTTCATGTTTTACAACAGTGAATCAGGACAAAACAAAGATTTACTAAAGTGCATTTAATCACCAAAGGACTAAAGATGTCTGGGCTTTTATTCTGTAATGTTCCTAAGACTGTGTACATTAAATGCAAACAAAAAAGGAAGAAGTCTTGACAGAAGAGGAGAAGTGATGCACACTTGATGATCAGATCAATTTGAAATATTATTCATGGCACACAGCCTAGTCCATGCTCTAGCTGTTTCTATGGCTTGGGCTTCATTGGTCTTCCACTGCTCTGCTACATCCTTGCTAATGCATCATCTGGATTGGGAGCACTTAACAAGGCCGAGATCAACAGCAGAACCGTGCAGGTCTGCAGTACAGGGGACCACTTATCTTTCAAAATATCTAAACATATTCTTCCAATTTGTCTACATTAGGATGACAAATTGTGGTCACGAAACATACTTTAGGGGCTGCCAATGGGTATTCTTCTGGAAGAAATAGTTCAAGTTTAAAAGTCCCTCCCTCAAAAGGAAAACTCTGGGGGCCAGCAATGACCACATGAAAATAACGGGCACTGCCGTCATCTCGTTCTGCTCTAATGCCAGGGACTGTTTCCGCCAGCAAACGCTGGGTTTCCTTGATAATCCTGTGGGGCAGCCCGACCATCTTGTCAGATCGCAAGTTTGGCCTCTGGTCTCGACACTGGCTCTGCTCACCTCACACACGAGTGTTAAGATTTTATTTTTTTTTTTTTTTAACGTTTATTTTTTATTTTTGGGACAGAGAGAGACAGAGCATGAACGGGGGAGGGGCAGAGAGAGAGGGAGACACAGAATCGGAAACAGGCTCCAGGCTCTGAGCCATCAGCCCAGAGCCTGACGCGGGGCTCGAACTCACGGACTGCGAGATCGTGACCTGGCTGAAGTCGGACGCTTAACCGACTGCGCCACCCAGGCGCCCCAAGATTTTATTTTTAAGTAATCTCTACACCCAATGTTGGGCTCGAACACACAGCCCAGAGATCAAGAGTCACATGCTCTACTGACTGAGCCAGATGCCCCAAAAAGACATTAACTCTTAACTCTGAATGTGAGAAACCTCAAAATATCTGGTTATTTAAAGCACTGCTACACATACTCTCAAAACAAAATTAACTAAAATCCATTTTAATTTTAGAAGACTGCCAACATTCAGGGGTGCCTGGGTGGCTCAGTCAGTTGAGTGTCCAACTCTTGGGATCAGCTCAGGTGATGATCCCAGAGTTGTGGATGGAGCCCTGAGATGGGCTCCACACTGAGCATGGAGCTTGCTTACGACTCTCTCTCTTTCCCTCTGCCCCTAAGCTCACGCTCGCGTGCTCTTTCTCTCTCTAAAAAGGAAGACTGCCAACATTTTAAAAAATTAGGCTTTATTTTTTAGAGCAGTTTTAGGTTCACAGAAAAATTAAGCTGATGATACAGATTCCCCATATACTCCCTTGCCTGCACACATGCCAATTTTTAGTAGGTAAAATTTGGTAAGGAATGGAAGGTAACACAATGATTTGCCCCCTCTTCAGGGCTGTGACCCTCTACAGTAAAAGTTTTCCGTCTCTGCTCCCTGGAGCCCTAGAAGTTCTTTTGTACTACCGCAGTAGGGAGATAGGGAGGTATCTGTAATGGACTGAGCTGACGGTACTGCTGACCTGCTTACCACAGTGGCTCAGGAGTTTTTTTACAAATTGCATTTCAAATTTTTTTTTTTTTTTCAACGTTTATTTATTTTTGGGACAGAGAGAGACAGAGCATGAACGGGGGAGGGGCAGAGAGAGAGGGAGACACAGAATCGGAAACAGGCTCCAGGCTCGGAGCCATCAGCCCAGAGCCCGACGCGGGGCTCGAACTCACGGACCGCGAGATCGTGACCTGGCTGAAGTCGGACGCTTAACCGACTGCGCCACCCAGGCGCCCCTACAAATTGCATTTCAAAAGGGTTTCACAGGTAGGAAAAAAAATCACTGAAAACCTTTCTCTGAAGCAGTGGTTCTCAAAGTGCAGTACCTGACCAGCGGCATCAACATCACCTGGCCTTGTTAAAAATGCAAATTCTCAGGCCCCAACCAAGACCTACTGAAAAGTCTGGAAGTGAGTATTCTGTTTTTAACAGCCCTCCAGAGCCCTCCACACTGATGCATGCTGAAATCTGAAAACCAGTGCCACAAAGATTTCAGATACTTTATTTAAGTAGTTGTTTGCTTTCCTTTAAGCACTCCTATTCTCAGTGGAAATCAAAATAGAATTTTTAGATTATAAATAAAAATATGCCAACATCAGTATTTTAGGATAAATCAGAATATTTCCTGTACAATTATATTTGGATTAAGACTGCCATTAGATCCTAACTAAAGATTATTTTTAAGAACCCTGAAGTCTTTAATATAAAATAATTTCAGCTATTAGGTGACCACCTAGACAGCTCTACACAGAGGTCCTCGAGTATACTGCAATCCTGTACTAATAATGTAAGTGAGGAATAAAAGCCTTCAATTCTTGACTAGTTCCTATAAAAATCTAAAATGTACGTGACAGGGGCATCTGGGTGGCTCAGTCAATTAAGCATCCCACTCTCGGTTTTGGCTCAGGTCATGATCTCATGGTTCGTGGGTTTGAGCCCTGCATCAGGCTCTGTGCTGCCAGCTTAGGATTCTCTCTCTTCCTCTCTTTGCCTCTCCCCTGCTCACTATCTCTCTCTCTCTCTTAAAATA